CTACGTGGCCTCAGACCTTGGGTCAGGAACCCAAACAAAAAGGTGTCAGGGTTTGGATCTGCCGAGATGGCTGTGAAGACTTATGTCGCCCCCTAGTTGAAGCCCAGGGTTTATGATTCAAAGTCAGCTTCTGGGGCTGTCAAAATCAGCAATGGGGGTTGTTCCCATTCAACCTACCATTTGGGAGGGGGGCTGACTTTGCAACTGGTAAACACTTTTAAACAAAAGCCAGTACAAGCCCCCATGAAATCAAGCCACCGAACCCTACTGCTTCAACTCCCAGGGGTTTGGTAACAGTGGCCGCCACAAGGAGCCCGGTCTGAAGAAACAGATGTTCCACTGGATCAGTAGGTCGAATCTATTTTTTTCACCAGTACGGTCCACCTATGTTCAACCAGACAGGACAACTACTGTCTGTGTGCTGACTTTGGCATATCACACCCAACCTATGCTCAACCAAAGTGACAGTTCACCGGGCCGAAGCACCTGCCAGCACCCAGGGAACGTCGGAACCGCCTGCATGGGTGTGACCAGCAAGCGCCCGTCGCGCAAATGCCAGGGGGCTGCCCCCGAAATGCAGCGCGCGATCCTAAGGCTGTGAAACAAACCAACAAAACAGTGTTTGCATTTGACATGAACAAGTTAACACACACACAAAAAAAAGCATTGAAATTGTCTTGATATGAACAAATGTAAAGTGTCAAGAAAACACGCCGCCTAAGGCTTTGTGTAGATGCTGACAATAGGGCTGGGAAGGGCTGGGGGGGGGGCCGGTTCCATTTTGCTACCCACAAAGGGAACACGCAACCATAAACCACCTCTCAAATTCCAAAATGAGTAAGGGGATGCTTCTCTTGGCATTCAAATTCATTGGCCATTCAGCACAGGAAGCGGCCACAGGAATTGGTTCTAAGAGCCTTCTCGAGGTTCTGATCCCAAAATCTATTTCAAACCATTTGGGTCGGGCCCAAATGATTGGCCCCTGTCCGAAATGGTTTGGGATCCAAAAGCCACAACGGATCACAACGGAAACCACTGCAATGCAATAAGCTACCACAAGGCTATCTGTCAAAATCGAGGGGGAGTGGGGAATTTGTTTCCAGCATGAGCGATTCGTTCTTCTAAACCAACCTGCAAAGTGCAACCTCACAACAAACACACACGCGCTCCAAAAAAAACAAAACACAGAAAGTGCAACCTCAAAACAAACACACACGCAAAACACGCGCACAAACAGAAACACACACGCAACTTCTGGGTTGGCCCTAGCCCTTGTGCGGATATGTTTGAACCGAGCGGCGCTGCCTCGGCCTCGCCGGCCGCCCGCAGGTTGCCACGGTGAAGGCCGTCCGCGTGCTGAGGCAAACCAATGGGCAGCGGGGCAAAGCGAGCCTCGTGCGCGGAAGCGCGGAGCAGCCACGATGCGTTCCGATTTAATCCTCTAAATCAGATGGTAGTTTGGGCATGTATATCCTGTAGGGAATCAGCCGCTGAAACCCGTTAGCGATGCAGCCTAGCCGCATCACATGAGCAGTGGAGGTTCATGGCGAAGCAGGCCTGCGCCAGGTTCGATTGAGCGAGACATGGATGTCTTGTTGCCAGGGTTCATTGGATTTTCCCTCCACAAGTTCCACAGCAAACGCCACTTTTGCAGGCCCAACAAAGTGAAATTGAGGAACCCCTGTTTGTGATACCCGGCTCGTGGGTGGCTGTAAAGAGAAAAAGCACCAAGGGAAACACAGGGACCTGTATTGTAAATGGTGCAATGTACATTTTGATGCAAAAGCAATTTGTTTCCAATCGGTCTACGGGGGCCAACGTCAACCAAAGACCAGCTAAGGTCCCTTGCTGCCAGAAATCCGGCAAAATTATCATGGGAACCGACCGAACGAAGGCTGAAAAGAATGGGGATCAACCATTAGAAGTATATGGAACAAACTCCCTGTGCGGGTCATTCCCCTTGACCTCTACAAAGGTTTGTCTGAATTCGCTAGAGGATTGTCATTCCCACTCATACTCATCAAGTGCTCACGCACCTGAAGCCCTGGCAGCGCCGCGATGTGCTGCTGCTGAGGCAGGGTCAAGGGCGCGTCGCCGCCATTGACCTAGCGCAAGAGCCGTTTCTGGGGGCCACATACCTCTGGAAACAATGCATCAAATCGAAGGCAGCTGTTTCTGCAGCCCGTGCGACTGCAAGTAGGATGAAGTCCGCCTTCACTGTCTCGGCCTGCAAATCGCCAGCACAGTCTTACACTGAGTCCATTAAAGTGACACAAACTGAACCTAGCCCCATCCTGAAACTTTCATGATGTTGAAAGCAAAGCACGCAACTGCCAATCCGGGAAACACATATATGTATATATATATATATGGTAACCCACGAGGCGTGCATTCAACTATCGGCCACGCAATGTAGGTGTGGCAATTTTAACCGCACCGTTCCAGAATGTGCTGAAAGCAAATTGCCCATTCCGACTCATGGCAAAATACAACATATGAGCAGCACCTGTTGCTCTCCTGACGCACTGTTGGCCAAACGGCTGGAGAGAAAGGAGACGGCTATGAACGGGCTTTTTCTCGGCAGGTTTCCCCCAAAAAGCTTCCGACTTCACATCACCCACAGGCCCATAGGCTTTAAGACAGTGCTGGAGCGAAAAGCGGGGGTGCTACGGGTGCGGGGCTCGAATCCTATGACAGGGGCGTGAATTTGAATGGGGGACCCCCTGTCCACTCTCCACTGTTGAGGAGCTCCCTACACCTTTGGCAAATCCCATACCCTCCAACGCCCTTCTTCTGCTCTCCTGAGTCCCGATTGTACACAGAAATTCAAGGTTTCATATTTCGCCTCAGTGTAAAATTGTTTTGGAGACGCTTCAACTAATTAAAGATATTCCTACCTTCCGGGCCCCCCATTGCCCTGACCGAGCCGCCAAGCCCTCCACGAATCCATCCAAGTAGGGCTTCTCCACACAAAGCACCCCATGCTGCGGCAGCAAGCGCCCCACGACTGGAACAGCGGGACTGCACTTGAGGTTTCCCTCTACGGCAACCGAAATATGTGCGCACACACACACACACACACCTAAGAGGAGAATCCTCCTCCGCAGGTGCTACGCTTGGCGGGAGGGTAATCTGCGCTTTGGAGCTTATCAGTGGCTTCCCATTTGACCTCAAGAGCCAGGGTTTAGAAATCCAAACCACGACAGAGGTTACTTGATCGATCCCTTTCGCGGAACAGAACAAACGTTGAATTTCTCCACAGGACCGATTCCTTCAGGCTGATTTCCATACTGGATCCTTTGCGAAGCGGCCCCCCCTCGAAGATTCATGTTGAGCCAAGACTTGTTGGCTGCATGAGCTGGAGTTTGCTGCAAATTTGGGGCATATGACAGCAACCTCACAAAGGGGTGTGCCATTCTACCCGCGATGAATGTTCCCTTCAAAGGGAACTCGGGTTGGTCGGTGAATTGCTGTGATTCATTCCGGCCGGATGATTCAATTCAATAGCCGCAGCTGTAAAAGGCAACTGGAGCACAGGTTGGGAGAATGCGATGAACACAGGCACAGCGCAGCAATTTCAACCATTTATTTCCTGCTTGTTCAGTAGAGAACCCATTCCCTATAAGGATCCATGTATGGTTGGAAGGGTCCTTCATATTTTCTGAGAAGCGACCAGGAGCTGATGCTTTGCGTTGACCTTCTCTGCTAGCCTCATTTCGCATCTCATCGTAGATCGTTGGGCAAGCTGCTGCCGGAAAATCATTCAGTGAAGTGGCCGAGAGGGAGTGGGGGGGGAGGGGAGGCCCATCCTCCCGTCCACAATGACTTGACCTTCCTGTGAATTGGTTTTCGCATCATACAATTGAGCTGGTGGGTTTCCCTTGCTTCATTTGGCGGCGTCGTTTGCATCGAATATGCGCTACAAAAAGGTGACACCCCTGTAGTAACCAGGGGGAAATTCATCCAAGGCTGACCTTTGCACCCCGAATTTGCGCAGCCACGCCTACCATCCAAAAGTGGTACATGAGTGGAATGGCAAAAAAAAAAAACACGATGTTCCAAATGCCAGAGGCCTCCACAACCCCAAGAAAAGAAACCTGTCATCGCTCACTCGACCGGCTTCCAATCAAGTTTGGATCCCTTCTTATGGATGGGGACCGGCCATGGTCCCTTTGAAAAATCATTCATTCCTGCAACTTGTAACCTGTGCAAAATGCAGGGTGGCAAGTGTCAGGACCCGATAATCTGACAGACGTCCTCAATCATTGGACATGACCCATCCCCTGCATTCATTGCACCCCCTTCCGAGACGTGGACGCTTGTTGACGGACGCTGTTCTGCACGTCTTGCAGAAAAGAAAAGACAGCAAGTAGGTAGAAACCTACACTTTCCCACTAGGGTACACCTTTCCGATGCGCTCTTGCGGCATAAGTTCACCCTGTGCTGACTACAGCTTACAGCTTGAGCCCTGAATCAGAAAAGCGCAAGGGGGTCCGGGCGTGTCTCGATCAGGCTATCGTTAGCACCTTGCTGGCACATCGCTAGCACCAAAATCAGACAGAAACAAAAAAAAATCCGAACCCGATGAACAAAAGGTAAAACTCGAACCAGGAAACCAAAGTCGTATGCAAATGTTTGTGGTGGCCTGACATGACGGAAATTGGTTTCATGGCCCCCTCCGGCCAAAACCCCGATCTAAATATTTAGGGATTCGTCTCTCTCTCTATCATTGCATTGTCCATTTATTCTCCGCCCATTTTCATTTAAACCCAAAAAAAAAACATGAATTACATGCGCATTGGTTGGCCCTTATCATTCTTTTCAATGACCCATTGCGACGCTATGTTGGGTCATAGCGGCTCCGGCCCAGCGCGGCAGCGAACTTGGGCCTGACGAGGCAACACATGAGGCGGACGGACGTGGCGGTCATTTGGTAGACCACCCGGGCTAATTATGAAGGAAAACCAGCGGGTTGTCGAACTTGGCCCATTTTTGCAAGACATTCTCACAAGTACCCCAGGTAAATGGAGTCAAAGGCAAAGTTGCCAAAGAACTTTGCGGGAAGCCCCCAGAATGCCACCGCTCTAAGGGATCCATAGTACTCTGACACAAGTTCTCCTGGAACAGGGGTCGACCAAGAGGAGAGCCCTGGATCAAAAATATTGTCGCTTCCAAAGGGCGGAAACCGGTTGAACTTCCAAATGACTTGCACTCCCTTTCAGCCAACGTCGAACTTTTGCCTGATAAAAAAAGCTCACCACTGAGCGACCGTTTTTTTTCCAAGCCTCTCAGAGGGGTGGATCTCGCGATAGCGCCGCAGCCGGGGCATGCAGTGCCAAAGGCAGGACGCCGCCAGGAAGGCAGCGGAAGAGATCCTGAGATGTAGTCGCGTGTGTGCGTTGAGGGTACCCTGTTCAGCTTGGTTTCAACGGCAAACAGGCAAGCCGCAATTTTTGGGGGTGCCCTGTAGTCCCCGATTTTTGACACATAAAATGCACGGCTTCTGTTTTTGAACGATCTTTCGGCTGCAGCCCTGCGGCTTACCAATCGTTGACCCAGCTGCACACAGGTGGCGCAAGGGAAGTAGACAAAGGGTACTGCTAACCCTAATATTAATCCCCTGTTGGGGTGTTTCCCTCCGAAAGTGATGATTCCCCACTAACCCAGGGAGACCCCCTTATTAATAAACCGGTCGATTGATTTGTATGGGGTCAACATTTTCAGAATGAAAGGCATCACAAAGGATGCGCATGTTACAATGCTCAAGTGCGCACGCCTTTGCTCCGCTTCTTGTTGGAATGGCAGGGAAACTAACTGAAGAGTCAAAGGACAGCGGCCCGCCGCCTTCAACACCCGGCCGCTACACGTGACAGGTCCAGGCAGAAGAAACGACGTGTTGGCAAACCAGGCATTGCTCGCTTCATAGGGGGAGCAAGTTTGCCTCGTGCCAGTGGCAGCTGCAGTATCTGATAGCTTCAAATCCCAGCTGCCGCTCATTGGTGTTCATTGCATAGTCTTCGGCATGTCTTCGGCATGACCAAATATCGAAAATGTCAGCAATTGCACGCTGGGAACGACAACAAGGTACGGCATGGCTGGCAACGTTCCAGTGGTGAGCACTGAGCACGGATAGAAAATTGTGGGGCCCCTAAACCGGATCTCAACGAAGCAAGATAATTGCCGTTAAGATGCTCCTGTGAATCTGAACAGCGCTGCGACAAACGACGCCTAAAACATTGACAACACACAGTGCTTCTCCTGAACGTGCGACATGAGTTGACATTGCCACAGCCCCGCCATCTTGCTCAGCTCAAGCATGCTTAAACCACCGTTGTCTAAACAACCTCCATGTAGCTTGCCTTAAACGGATAAAAGGGTGCCAGGGCCAAGGTTGCCCGACTCTGTTGACCCCCCCGCTTCATTCCAAAGTGCAGCTTGGCTGAGCTGGATCGCTGATGCCAGCGCTCATCGTAGTACCATGGTACCTGGCAGGCTACCTTTCGAGCGTCGCTACGCTGCGGCAAACGCGCGTTCCTTTCCAAAAGGGGGTGGTATTGGAAACCGACTACCTGCCTTACCTCGCCCAGGTGCAGAACTTCTGATAGGATTGAACACGAAGAAACAGAACGCGGTCCGTGCCATTTGTTTCTATCGGGACTCGCCAATAGGCTTACTCAGACGCCAGTGCCTCGAAAAGACCAGGCGGAACCGGCAGCTCGCAGGGCAAGCCTTAGGTCTGTCTCAAAGTCTTGGGACCCAAACCGGTTGGTGTGCTCTTCCCTCCAAACACCAAGCCCGGGAGCTCCCCCCAAACAAAAAACCTACCTACCCGGAGATGCGTTGGAAGCTCTATGGCGGCCAATTGGCAGCTGGTTAGTGCAAAGGCACTAGCTGTCCAAGCCAGTCCTGTGCGGGATCTCTGCTAAGTGCGCCAGCTCAAACATCTAGGTTGACACTTGTCCAACGTCTCATGAGCCGACTGGCCAAACAAAAGGTCCAAACTGTTCGTTTGCCACTATTGTCCCTCCCAATTGTATATATATATATAACGATATTATATATATATATATTTACTTATTTATTTATGTATACATAAAGCGCTGAAACTCAGGGAGTGAGACTTCTGCCTTCAAAACTGCCAAGTTGCACACCGCAGGTATCCTGAGCGCGCCCGTGTGCTGAGACAATGCCGGGAACGAGGGGTTGCCGGCAACGGCACCGAAATTGCCACACAAGCGCTGAACTGCTCATGTTGGAGTGGTGTGCAGGAAGCAAGCATGTATTTTGGTCAAGAACAGCGGTGCACTGTGCTGCTTGCTCATGAAGACACTCCGTTTCCTTGCGATTGGGGTCAAAGGATGGGACCCATTTGTTCGACCAATTTGCATGCTCAACCAAAGTTGATATGTGTGAGAACCTGCCAGAACCACCCAGATCGCCTAGCAAATTTCCCAACCAATTGCTCAAGGCGAATCAGAAAGCCGTGCTGTGAGTCCTCATCTTGCACAAGTGCATTTCTCCTTTCTCCCTCTCCATCGCCATCCTGGGGGTCAGCACCCTCCCCGCTCCTCTCCACTCCGCTTCCTCCCTTCTGCCGGGAGACTGCCCCTTTTTGCCCATGGGCAGTTCTGGCGGCGGCTCATCCGGCTGTGCCTGCGCCTCAGACAGAAATCGTTCGGTTCATAGCGAACCCTGTCCCTTGCTTTGGCAAAAAGTTGGTGGGATGTGTCTTTAGAGCGTTCGTTTCCTCAAATGGGGAAGGCTCCACTTTTGGGTTGTTCATCTCCTCACAAGGCCAACCCGCCTATTTCACTGGGTCTGTCTCTCAATGGGTGTTGTGAATCGGCCCCGACACCACTCGTTACAGGGGAACTACCGTCTGCACCACAAGCCAGGGATACATGCCCCATGCCCGAATGTGGATTGGGCACATGGATGTAGCTGTTTCACACAGGAGTGCCAAAAGAGTCAACACTAACAATGCCGAAACAACAGCGAAAAGGATTCAAAGCAGAACGAGTGTTGGGCTAGCGCTAGCTGATGAGGGTTTGATGGCCTTTTAGTGCTTCCTTAATTTGCCCAGCATGCCATTGAATAAGACTTTAGGATGCTTTAGAGCAACCCGGCCGACAAAAGATGATGTCCCAGCGGCCTGAAGTTGCGGTTTCCCTAAGATGAATCAAGGTAAATGACCGGTTTTGTCAAGTTGAATCTGGGGCCCCAGCCTTGCGCAAGGCCCTCTGCCAGCCCTGCCACGCAGCATCGAAGCGCTCTGCTTCATCCTATGCGAGTTGCGACTTATTTTAATTTCCCTCCATTTGGTGGTTCGGATTGGTGGTTTGGTGGCTAAGGAGGGATCTCCTATTTTACCCTCTGCAAGGTCCTGGGGGTCAAATCCCCAAACAAATATAGGCACATGCGTGCAAACAAATATGCTCGACTTGTCAAACACTTCTGCCGCTTCTCGTCTGAAACAAGTTGCAGCCGAAAAACACAATTCCAGCCTGAGCCGTGTTCAACTATGGAAGAAGCCATCTTAGCAACTTGGCAAAGAACGACTGAAGACTGACAACTCGCCAAAGATAAACACAAAATACACGACCTGGGTGCCCCAAGGCATCCCCAAGGCATCAAATCCCCGGTATGTGGCTTGAGCTCTGCCAAAGCTACGCTCCCTGAACTGGATCTCTTTTCAGTACGTCCCCACCATTCTGCCAAAAGAAATTCTGAGAAATCCCATGCACCGGCTTGAAGTGCTCCTGAACTGCGCCTGTCCTGCTGCAAGGTGTCCAAGTGAACTTTCTGACCTTTCCGCGCACGTTTCGGAATCTTGCGGGAAATTATGGCTTAAACGCAACTTGACATCCTTGAAATTGGAGAGTCCTACAGGTGGACAAAGTCAATTTCACACCAGTTGGTAGGTGGTACATTTCAATCATCTTGCATGTTGGTCAGGCAGCGAGCCTGACGAGTATTCAATCGTCATGCGCAAACCCCTTACTCTCTTGACGCATGCCAGGAAAAATCAGCCATGCAAGCCGGACAAGGGAAGCAAAAGGTATGTCAAAATAGGAGGACTCCCAAAACTGTGGTTCTCCTTTGGGTGTCCCTTTTAAAATCATGGGTAAAAGGGTACCCACAAAAACCAACACACACAGACAAACACACCCACGCTCGCACGCCCAAATGCCTGAAGGTTGCCGAAACCCAATTGCAATGACTGCTTTCACCCTGCCGCCAAACAGCCACAATTGGGTGAATCCCATTGTGGGAGGTAGGGAAGCTGAACACAAAACAACGAGGGCCAAAGCAGAGTCTTACCGCAGCTGAGGCACAGGTGTCTATGCAAAGGAGGCCGCGCCGGGGATCGTGCTGAAAGCAAAGATCTTTGGCCTGCAGCTTGGCTTAGCTTTTACAATGGCTGCCAACATATTGAGTGTGTGACGGGACCCCTATAATAGTGGTTTCACTTTTGGCTGTCCTTTCAAGCCACACAAAGGGGCAAATCCCTTTCGGATTTGGGAAAAAATCAAGCTTTGCCAGGCTCACCACCCGCTTCAAGGTCCCCCCCCAATTAATTGTCTGTTGGGCAACGTGGGGAGAGGACCGACCGGAGAGGAAAACACATGAAGACCGGAACTAGGGGACCCTCCAAAAACTGTATTCTTCCTCTGGAGCTTGACAACATTTAGGGGGGGCTTCGGCAGGGGGGTTGCTGCTCAGCAGCAATCATTGGACTTGACCCTGTGCCCTCAATAGGGGACACCGCTGTGGTTTAAGCCTATGTTGACATGGAACACTTTGGAGTGTCGAAGGGCCGATCACTGCACCCCGGCCTTGCTGGGCCGTGGAGCGCGGCAGGGCCCGCGCAGCATGCCGCTGCACCCCCGCAGGTTGCGGCATCCGCCGGTGCGAACCCGATGCGCAAGGCTCGGTTACCACGTCGGTTTACATGTGTCTCCCGTTAATTCCCCCATCCCCAGGGAAACTCCGCACGTCGTGATGTTTTAGCTGAAGGCGAATGTCGGGACCCCTGTGTCAGAATGGGGGCGGGGGGGGGGGGATTGCAGGTCCCTAGGCCCAGCCATCGTGTCCAGTGGGGCACTACGACGAAAATGAACAACCCACTTTAAACCGCAATCGTGCAACACTTGGACATCTGTGGCGTAAAGCGCAAGGAGCCAATTGATGAATGCTTGGGGTGCTGGCTGTGGCTGTCAAGGCAGCTGTAATTGGCTGCATGCGGCTGGGCAACGGTTGCGACGCCCTGCCGTTGCCAAATCTGAAACTTGCGCTTATCAGCTTCCACTTGTTTGGAGCTTTGGTCTGTGGTTTGGGGGTTAGGGGGTGGCGTCGCATCTACCCTCAACTTTGGACCAGGGGTTCGCCGTTACTGATTCTATCAGCTCCCAAATCAAGTAGTACAGCCTTCCTCCCACAAGGAGAAGGCACCATTTGGGCACATGTCAAAATGGGGGGACCCCCCAATGGTGGGTTTCCTTTTGGCGTCCCTTTCGACCAAACCCAAAAAGGCTATCCTTGAGAAACACTGTCGCCGAGCCAGCGGGCCGTGAAATTGTTGCAGTTCTTCCGCAGCAGGTCGTAGGTGCGGGGCCTCCACACGAACTTTTGGTCTCGGATCTTAGCCCCCAGGTCCGCATCTAGTGAGCCTTCTACATGCAACAACATACCCATAGAGATCCCGGAGAAAGTGTGCCATGTTTGGAAAGGCCAACAAACAGCTAAAGCCGAAGGCTGGCCGCGCTGAGCGAAAGTGGCTTCTGAATTCTGGAAGAAAGTTAGCTTGAAAGGATCTTTGAAAAGGTGTATGAAGAAACACCTTTGGGTGGACAAGCAAAACGTCAGGCTCTTGAGCAGCAAAGGCGGCGGCTGAAAATGCTTGCTTAGCACATCCAGCAGAATGGTGCCCCCCAGCTGACCTCGGCGTGGTGACTTACGTGTCCGTTGGGCAGGCAACGTAACGCTCACTCATCTCTATTGGGCTCGTAGAGCCCCTTGGGTGCGCTGAACCTTTGGGTGCACTGCACGGGCTCGTCGGGCCCAGCGCAAACGAGCAAAAAACATGCAAAGAATAGGCCCGTGACAGAGCGCAGTGCTGCACAGGAATGCTGGAAAAGGCCCAGGAGACGCGGAGGAGCGGGGAAGATCGATCACAGCTCTGAGCCCCATGTCATCACAAACCCAGTAATGAATGTCTACAAGAGATTGGCCAAAGACCCACAAAAGACAACGAATTCCTGTAGAACATGCTGCTTGCTTCTTAGATGCTAAGGGAGCAACTGATGCAGCTACCTTGTCATGAGTCATGAATGCACTGAGCGCTGCGCTTTCCCCCACGTGGATTCGCTCCACGTCTGACCTGCGAAGCGCATGCAGCTAAGGGAAGATGGTGCTCCCTTTGCTCATTAGCTCCATGAAGTAGCTGTATACACTAAACCTTTGGCGGCAGCAGTTTCGGGTCGAAACCGACCCGAAACCGCGGACGCTTGAAACGACAAACGCCATGATGGTTCCACTCTGGATATTCAGCTTCTTTCTTGTTCACTTCCCGCCACTCAGCGAGTTGATCGGAGGGTCGTTTATCATAAACTGCGGTTCTGCGACAATCGCCCAACTCCGACATGGATTCCCTTGGCATGGACTGTCAAAACTCGAAATCGCCCCAACAGTGCTTAATTGTTCTTTCATGGCTTCTGTGGAATGCCTTCACATCTCGTTCACTTCGCCCTTCAAAAAGGTCTCAGTTTTTGGGACCGCGGTTGGTTGAAGGGACGCCAAAAGGTATCCCAACTGTTTCTGTGTGCTCAGTAGCCCGTGTTGTTTCCTTAAAGGGAAACCAACAGGGGTTGTGAATGGGAACCAGTAAGCCTTAGGGAGACATCAAGGGGGTGCCTTAAAATGCCCAAAAGAGAAATCAAACAAATGCAACCCAAGCCCGAGCGCCCGGTTGCGCACGTTCGCTTGTGGCTGGAGAGCTTGGGATAGCAGCGGATGCCGCTGGGCGTGAAGTAGTACTCCTCATCGGTACGACGGCGATGGTGACCCTTTAGAGCCGGTCTTGCGAGGATCACCGCTTTGAAGGCAGTTCATGGATTGCACCCGTTACAGCAGGCTACCCCATGTACGGTAGTTGGTTGTGTTTTTCTTAACAACATTGGAAAACTGATTGGGTTGCACCCGGTGCATGGGGATTCGTGTGTAATTTGGGAGGCTCCCCCAAGATTCAAAGCCAAATGGGGCACCCCCTCCACCATTAAACTATGATAAATTATGGGCACGGCCTTCGGGCGTTGACGTGCTCAGCTTTGAACGTAATGCAAGCGTTCAGCTTGCAACGGCTGCCTCGCTGAAGACAGCTGTCACGGCCAAACCCAACAGGAGATTGGTACCAATAGGAGGGCGTCACTGACGAAAGTCAAAGACTCCCACAAGGGGACACCCCCCGATCCAGTGATAACCACGGGCTATTAAGCCGGGGTGACCATTGTCCAGTGTGCCCCCATTTCAAGGCTTAGGCTGAGTTTCGGACCGTCGCAAACACGCGACTAGGCTACAGGGTTCTCGGGGGCAAAGGCGGCTGGATCTGACTTGAAGGCTTACAAAGCACGGGTGGTCTGCGTACACCTCAGTGCAAAAACCTAAGGACGGAAACCTGTGCACACGGAATGAACCGGCCGTCCTCCCCATCAATGAGCACCTGCCGAGCGTGGGCGGACCAAACCGGCCTGACAAGCACCATGTTCCACCTACTCATATTGGACCATCCTTGAACTGACAATCTATCAGCAACCAGCTGGCCACACACACACGCACAAAAGTTCGCTACCATGTCCAGCAGCTACTACAAACCTGCTCACAGCAGGCCTTCAAACATGGGTTGCTGAAGTTTCACATAGAAGCGCAGGTTCGGTTGAAGCACCACCAACTGCACCAGATTGAACGGCAATTGCCTTCATGTTGGAGGCATAGCCCAGTTTGGGCCAAGTTTGCAGGTCACTCTGGATGGATCGCCGGAGATCGCCGGCCCGTCGAGCAACCTGAGGCCCGAGCTGAGGAGTGGTAGCCCAGCAAGCCCTGCATGCCGGCCAGGGGAGAGAAGACCAATTCCACCTGGTGCCTGCGCGAACACAGCCTGGGGCAACAGAACTGATGCTGCCGACCTGGGCTTCTAAGGTCTCTCTGCAGGAAGATTAAATTAGCCTAAATGCCTTTTGGTACCGATGTGTTCTGCTGAATTGGCTGGTCAGTTGTCAAATTCGACGGGTAGCAACACCGAGCCACTCTTGAAAAGTTTACAGTGTGCCGGAGCCAAGTCCATGCAATTCGTTGGGCCCACCAATGATACATAGCTGCATTGTTGCACTGACGTCTGTATGTTTCCGACCGTACCTGCTCCCTGATTGAAATCAATTGTGGCCTCTTAGATTCTATTTGCTTAAGCGTGCGCCAGCTTGTGCTGCGTCTGTGTATGTTTGTCCTTTCAGGCACTACAATAAATCCCATCTGCTTCTTGGTCGTATCAATGCTTCCCTTTCCCATGTCCGCCCTTGATTCGTTGCGAACAACTGCCCAGAGTTGCTATCTGTTCGCTCTGATTAGCCGCAATGTCTTCAGCCCTCAAGTTGCGGGCAAGGATTGCTTTCCCTCCTGTATCAGTTGGCTTTTCCTGGCCAGGATCTGCTGCTGCTCACTTGGGAAAGTATTTCGGCGAAATGCGTGGAATGCATGGTGCGTTGATTTGTTGAATCCAGAGTCGTCAAGATCAGGCAATTTCACAACACGAGAAGGAGCGGGCTTTCGGGGTTGGAATGGCCGAGCCTCACTTTCAAAGGGAGCTTCAGGTAAGGGTGGTCTCAGGTACCGTTTAAGCTTCAAACCATCGCTCGCACCGGCATGGCAACTAAGGCCACCAGGGCCAAAGCGTGCGCCACCAATCTCCCGGGTTCCTTCTCACATTCACTTCTTAATCACAAGGACGCCAAGGTTCGAATCAAAGGCCATTGTGTAACGCCGTTCCCGCCACACCCAGCCTGGCATTTTCAGGCAGCCGGGGAACAAAGGGCTTCCTGCAGCGTAGAAGCATCGCAGGGCAATCGTAATCATGCCATTTGTCTGTGTCCTTAACCTGCACATTCAGGGGGGTCTTCAAAATTGTTTGGAGTGGTTTCCATTTCAATCACCACTAAGAGGGCCATTTTGAGGATCTCACTTTTTCTTGTTCCTATCCATACCGATGCCTCTACGGAACTGAAAGCAGGCGCCCTCAAACAGCTTCTTGACACCCTCAACGATATAGCATGTGTGAAAATAGGTGTACCCGCAAAATGGGCAAGCCGCGAGGCTTTCCCGCCTCTTGCGACGCCGCAGCTTCGTGAGCTCCTCCTCATCTCGCCTCCAAGCGAAGGCTTGGAAGCAACGCTTTTCACGTCCAATGGGCAAGCACAGTGAGGCACCGCTTTTTGTAATGGGAACCCCGGATTCATAAACTCTGTTTATCAATATGGGAAACCAAAAGAAGAAGAACAAGCAGAAGAAGAAGTGTTGAACTCACAATAAAACTATGATATTCATAAATGGGCCCAATTGACTGCGTTGTCATGAAGCATCTTATGAGTGCCTTACACAAGCAACCAGCAGTGTCGGCAAGCTAGCCACAAGTCCTTGAAGAGGGGACACCTCCTGAACATTCCTCTGACCAGACTGTCTTCTCGAATGCTTCATATGTGGGAGGAACTCGACGCAGGACAGAGCAACACGACGCTTCACGAGCCCCCTCTACATTCCCAATACATCCCAATACCATTCCAGTCTTCCACACAGAATGGGCAATGACGCTAATGCAATCCAGGGTCACCCCCCCTCGGCCAACAAGGAGGGATCAACACACAGTCAAAAGGCAGCCGCCAGTCCAACCAGGTGTTTCCGCCTTCGGTCGCGCCCATCAGCCCGGCAAGGCTCGCATGTGAGGCATGGCTGAACCTGAGCGAAGACCAGGACACCTCGTCCTGGTGAAACACCTTTGCAGCAAATGGCTGGTGATTGAAACTTGTGTACAACAAACTTGAGATAGCAGAGATCAACAACGCAGCGCTTGAGCTGTTGATCGGCAACTCCCTGATATGTGTGAATGTCGGTTGATTGATATTCTGTGCAAGATCCATGGCAGGTTCAACAGAACATCCTCTGTTTGGCAGGCCGTCTCTGAACTCTCAAGTGTCTTTTGCATGCTTAACACGTTGCATGCTGTGCCGATTTTGAGATCTCCATATTTGGGGGGGGGCATCTTTCGGGAATTTGTTGGGCTGGCAAGAAGAAAGGCACAAACTGCAACCTACGTGGCCCATCTGATCATAGAAACGGGATCCCAGGGCAATGACTGAAGATATGGAGACTTGTTGGCTGAGTCAGATTGCCGGAAACCGAACTGAACCATTTTATCGGGCGTAAAAGATCCCTCAGCGGGGTCATTTGCCCTGAAACCAAGGAGCCCCAAGTGGAATGAAACATGTGGAGGGCACCACTTCGAATCCAGCTACCCCAGAAATCTCATGAATCACTGGTGTCGGACGCAATTAAACTATTTTGAGCTTGGAGCATGGAGCCACACATGCATGGCGGGGAGGCAAAAAGAGATCAATGAACAGTGTTTAAAGAATGAACAACCAATGGAGTAGATCAATGCCAACGCCTAGTCAATCCTGAGAAAGCATTGCCCAGCTACCCCACTCCAAAGCAGCATTGCGCAATTCACAAGTCGAATTGCAAAATGATCAAGTCATATTAGCCAATTCTAGAGTAACGCTGCTCAAATATCAAATGGTGTGGCCACACTCTAACCTACCATTCTGCAATTCTGTGATCTCGGACCGTCTTGTTGACGCTGGCTGGAGTGCTTTTCAATCTGGCAGCAATAACATGCAAATCAGGGAATCAAGGGACGAATGTGCGTGAGTGAGTAAAGACACAATGGTCAGTCCAAAACTTCTTGTGGTTTATGGCAATGGTTCCTTTGATAGAAAGCCTTGTCATGTTATGGTTGTCTACATTCCTAATTCATGGTTGACGACCATTCCTGTAAAGGGGCCTTTTGGCCGCCACACACGGGATACTTGTGCTTGGTTGCGTAATTGAAATCAAAGCCGGCAACAGTAAAATGGTTGGGAATGTGTTAAAATAGGGGCACCCCCCAACATGGTGGTTTTTCTTTGGATGCGGAATTGTTGTTGTATATACTTGTTTCGGTGTTCTTTGAGGTTTTTCGTCTTGGCCAATAAAATGTTGTATTTTATGGCATTGTCTCACAAAATGTACGTGTTTTACACTAGCCCGTCGGGGGTTGAGGGCTTAAAGCCGCGTTGACCTCTGCAAAAATATAAAAGCAGCGGACGGGCTGGGGGGCCTCCTATGATGTTCGAAGAAGTGCATACATACATACATACATACATACATACATACATACATACATACATACATACATACATACATACATACATACATACATACATACATACATTACATTACATACATTACATACATACATACATACATACATACATACATACATACATACATACATACATACATACATACATACATACATACATACATACATACATACATACATACATACATACATACATACATACATACATACATACATACATTACATTACATTACATTACATTACATTACATTACATTACATTACATTACATTACATTACATTACATTACATTACATTACATACATTACATTACATTACATTACATTACATACATACATTACATACATACATACATACATACATACATACATACATACATACATACATACATACATACATACATTACATTACATTACATTACATACATACATACATACATACATACATACATACATACATACATACATACATACATACATACATACATACATACATACATACATACATACATACATACATACATACATACATACATACATACATACATACATACATACATACATACATACATACATACATACATACATACATACATACATACATACATACATACATACATACATTACATACATACATACATACATACATACATACATACATACATACATACATACATACATACATACATACATACATACATACATACATACATTACATACATACATACATACATACATACATACATACATACATACATACATACATACATACATTACATACATACATACATACATACATACATACATACATACATACATACATACATACATACATACATACATACATACATACATACATACATACATACATACATACATACATACATACATACATACATACATACATACATACATACATACATACATACATACATACATACATACATACATACATACATACATACATACATACATACATACATACATACATACATACATACATACATACATACATACATACATACATACATACATACATACATACATACATACATACATACATACATACATACATACATACATACATACATACATACATACATACATACATACATACATACATACATACATACATACATACATACATACATACATACATACATACATACATACATACATACATACATACATACATACATTACATACATTACATACATACATACATACATACATACATACATACATACATACATACATACATACATACATACATACATACATACATACATACATACATTACATACATTACATACATTACATACATACATACATACATACATACATACATTACATACATACATACATACATACATACATACATACATACATACATACATACATACATACATACATACATACATACATACATACATACATACATACATACATTACATACATACATTACATTACATTACATTACATTACATTACATTACATTACATTACATTACATACATACATACATACATACATACATACATACATACATACATACATACATACATACATACATACATACATACATACATACATACATACATACATACATACATACATACATACATTACATACATACATACATACATACATACATACATACATACATACATACATACATACATACATACATACATACATACATACATACATTACATACATACATACATACATTACATACATTACATACATACATACATACATACATACATACATACATACATACATACATACATACATACATACATACATACATACATACATACATACATACATACATACATACATACATACATACATTACATTACATACATACATACATACATACATACATACATACATACATACATACATACATACATACATACATACATACATACATACATACATACATACATACATACATACATACATACATACATACATACATACATACATACATACATACATACATACATTACATACATACATACATACATACATACATACATACATACATACATACATACATACATACATACATTACATACATACATACATACATACATACATACATACATATACATACATACATACATACATACATACATTACATACATACATAGATACATTACATTACATTACATACATACATACATACATACATACATTACATACATACATACATACATACATACATACATACATACATACATACATACATACATACATACATACATACATACATACATACATACATACATACATTACATACATACATACATACATACATACATACATACATACATACATACATACATACATACATACATACATACATACATACATACATACATACATACATACATACATACATACATACATACATACATACATACATACATACATACATACATACATACATACATACATACATTACATACATACATACATACATACATACATACATACATACATTACATACATACATACATACATACATACATACATACATACATACATTACATACATACATACATACATACATACATACATACATACATACATACATACATACATACATACATACATACATACATACATACATACATACATACATACATACATACATACATACATACATTACATACATACATACATACATACATACATACATACATACATACATACATACATACAGACATTACATACATACATACATACATACATACATACATACATACATACATACATACATACATACATACATACATACATACATACATACATACATACATACATACATACATACATACATATACATACATACATACATACATACATACATACATACATACATACATACATACATACATACATACATACATACATACATACATACATACATACATACATACATACATACATACATACATACATACATACATACATACATACATACATACATACATACATACATACATTACATTACATACATACATACATACATACATACATACATACATACATACATACATACATACATACATACATACATACATACATACATACATACATACATACATACATACATACATACATACATACATACATACATACATACATACATACATACATACATTACATACATACATACATACATACATACATACATACATACATACATACATACATACATACATACATACATACATACATACATACATACATACATACATACATACATTACATACATACATACATACATACATACATACATACATACATACATACATACATACATACATACATACATACATACATACATACATACATACATACATACATACATACATACATACATACATACATACATACATACATACATACATACATACATACATACATACATACATACATACATACATACATACATACATACATACATACATACATACATACATACATACATTACATACATACATACATACATACATACATA